ATCGGTGACGGCACACCGTGCACGCCAGCCTGTTTGAAGAGAAGCGGCAGCTTTGGAGACCGTTTCGTCCTCCTGTCAGTTGCCAGCTTCCAAGCTTCACACATGCAGGCACAGCCGTATCCTTCTAGCTTTCTTTCGTTTCTGGTTTCTGGCAATGGTAGCTTGGCGAACTTCACACCAAGTTGGGACAGGCACAAGTATTGCTACTGAAGTGCTAAGGGAACAGGCTGTACACGAGTATACCCGATAAAACCCTATATAACCCCTATATAACCCTATAAAACCCTAAATGGCCCTCATAAAACCCTGTAAAGCCCCATATAACCCTATACAACCCTGCAGTGCTGCAATTCTGGAGGCATTTCAGTGAGAGCCTCTCTGGGCCTTTTTGGGAAATCTGTGCAATGGCAAATGCTGCCCCCCCCTTCAAGCAACAATACTTAAGGCGGGAACGAGTCAATTAGGGTTTAGGGTTTAGGATCTTGGATTAGTGGGGAATGAAGGAATGGAAAACAGAATTGAAACGACTACAAGGGGTTGAGCTACAGAGCTCGAAGGTAGTAAAAATGTTGGCCAGCGGATTAGATGCCCGCCGCACTGGGCCTTCGGCCCCAAATCCCGTCTTACGGTCCCACTCGGAAACGTTTGAAGCATCTGCTGAAATAATTGCAATGCACCGGGCCTTCCTTCTGAAGCTCATTGCGCGACTTGAAGTGGGTGCTGGGGGAACTTCCCTCGTTCTTTCTTCTTTCTTTCTTGATTGATTGGCTTTTCGCCAGGCTTTTAGTATGGATTGCTTCCAACAGCAAAAGTCGTACAATATCACGTTGCGGGTTGTTGTGCACCAACCTTACTAGCAGGGAAGTATGTGGCATCATAGATCACCGTTTGAGTTAAAAGCTTGCCAAAAGGGGTGTGAGCTTGTCATACATGGTCAGCGCGCAGCATGTTCACCACATGCTCATCCGTCTCACTGCAGTGCCCAAGCCCGGGGTTCGCCCAACCTGCAAAGTATCCCTGCCGTGTCATCCGTGTCCACCCCTGACATGTCTCTGCACTGCCCACACTTTGAAAACATCCTTGCAGAGCTAAAGTATGCTTGCAGTGCCTAAGCCTCAGTGCCCAACGCCAAAGTATCCTTGCAGTGCCCTTTCAGAGCATTAGAGTATTCTTGCAGTACCAAAATATTTCTGCAGAGCCCATCCCCAAGGTCTCTGCAGTGCCGGGCGGGAGGGGAGGTAAGGCAAGGGCGGTGGGAGGTGGGAGGGCGGAGGTGGCTGGAGGCGGGGGCGGCGGGTTCAACCCCATTGATCCGATTCGGGCTGGTTGGCGGGGCATGATCAAACTGCGCTGATCATAAAGCTCCTCATACAGATACTTGACCACCTTTTTGATGAAAGATGCACAGGTCCATGAATCGCCTGCTTGCGATGGGAGAAGACATAGGTATTTGTCTGTATATACGCATGGACATGGAATATACATGTAAGTAAAACCTGCACGAGACAAAATGTGTTCCATATTGTTTTTGAAACCCCTCATGACAATAGTAAGCCTGAAGGTCATGCGCTACATGATGCGCAATAGAGTAAGTACAGACAACTCAATGTATAGCAAATGACTCCTGACACTGCAGACAAAATGCTGTGTGATTGCATGTAGTGAATGCTTGACATAACACATACAATCTACTGCGCAAATGTGTATATACATCCTCTGTATGATATGTGTGAACACCCGTATATACCCTAAACCCTAAACCCTAACGCCTAAACCCCAAGCCGTAAGCCCTAAACCACAAACCCTAAACGGCAGCCTTTGGGTGGTTGTCAAAATTATGGTCTTTTTCTGGATCCCTATAAAAATACGGCACCTACTATAGAGGGTACCCAAAAAGGGACCCTAAACTTTGACTACCACCCATATGGATAACATCTTGGGATATTTATAGGGTTTTATAGGGATGTAAGGTTTAGGGCTCAGGGTTTTGGGCAATAGGGAAGGAGGACCCCCCACCCTGTAATAGTGGTATAATAGGAATAGAAGAGCACCCTAATATAATCCCTATTATCCCTTATAGTCACTATTACTGGCTGGGGGGTCCACCTAAAGTATACCTAATAACAAATTCTAACGGAATGCTAAGGCACATAAAGCTCCTGTACATTTTACAC